TAAGAGAAGCTTATCCAACTTTAAAGGACGTTCCGCCATTTTTCTGGAGGTTCCCCACGCCCGCCCGTTCATTTTTTTATCTAGTGATGCTAAATCAATAGAGAAACGTTGGTCCCTGAAAAAGGTCACGGGGGCCCTGATTTTCACTACAAAATAAGAAAGAAAGGGGGAAGAAAAGATAAAAGGAAAAGAAATGAAAATCGTAAGACAGAAAAGGAAAAGAATAAGAAAAAAGACATAAGAAAGAAATGGAATGGAAAGGAAGCATAAGAAAGAAAAGGAGAGACTAAAACAGAAAATGAAACATAGAAACAAAAGGAAACACAAGAAAGGAAAAAAAAGAAAAGGAAACATAAGAAAGAATAGGAAAAAGATAAGGAAACATATGACAAAAAAGGAAAGTGTAAGAAAGAGAAAGAAAAAAAAGGAAATATCGAAAGACATTGGTATAACTGTGATTAAAAAAATGAGAAGGTAAAGTAATAAAATGATGAGTCTTGTTACATTTTCTTCTTGTGATATGTATCTTGTTTTTATCTCTACTGCTTGTTTGACACTGCCCAGCACCTATTTAGGTGGAGATGTTTGCGCTTCACAAATCTTTATTATTATTATTATTATTATTATTATTAATAGGCATATATTATTATAAGGCCTATTATTATTAGTATTATTATTATTGTTATTATTATTAATAGGCATATTATATTATTATAAGGCCTATTATTATTATTATTATTATTATTATTATTATTATTATTATTATTATTATTATTATTATTATTATTATTATTATTAACAACACGATATTCAAACTTAAAACAATGATTAATTTAGTCTTTTTGCAAGTACACGACTTTTAAAATCATTCAAGAGATTTTTGCTTTTCTCCCCTTTTTAACTTTCACTTTTTGTATTAGTATACAAAACAACAACACTATTGTGAGTGGAAATAATATCAGTCTATTGTCAAATAAAGTGAAATCACCTCGACCTGACAAAATAACGTAAAATTATCAGCCATACATATTGACAAATCAAAAAAGCTCCAAAAATACGAAATGGCTCTTCTTGCAACATTACCGTATCGTTCAAGAGCAAGAATAGCCTAGTAAAAGTGTTTCACGCTGACATTAGCTGTTTTTAGGTCATTTTTTGTCTTTCCACAGTCGTATCTAGCAAATACTTGGAAAGTCGGATTTTTGTATTTCCTTCTGCATTTGGAAGGCAATTCTTTTCTGGTTGCTTTAGTATTTGTTTCAATTGTATTGCTTGAAAAAGGTCACCGTCATTTTCACTTTTCTATTGGTGGTATGCTGACCACCCACCGCGTGTAGAGGCTGCATTTCGACCTCTTTTTAGTGACTTCGTTTAAATTGCCATTTCGGCTGTTCACCAATCAAATATCTTGTTGTTCATTCCCCCCAGTAAACGGAAAGCTGAATATTCATAGATTCTTCTTTTTTTTAAGGCAGTTTAGTTGATGGTGGATAGCAAATAGCAAACATGGCGGTTGTGTGTTCGATTCCCACACGAACCAATTTTTTTTTAAGGCAGTTTCGTTGATGGTGGATAATGAATGTATTGTACTCGTTGATGACGTCGCGAAATAACAACAAACAACGTGTCATATCCGAGAATGGTGATGGTGGTGCTGTTCTTTATACAGTATTTAAAAACAGAGACCTGCATACGAAAATTGAAAACAGAACCATTTATATTTTACGCAAAGTCGAAAAAAAGGCCAAAGCAATGCTCTATTAATCAAAGTTTTATAGCCTATTTTTGTCTATCTCTTGGAGATGAGATGTGTATATATATATATATATATATATATATATATATATATTTAACATTTTTAATTCCTATATTTCATTCCCAAAGTACTACCATATAGCAATAAAAAATAATTCCCCTGTAGATTTTTTATGTTTTTAATATAAAGTGACTATAATTAAAGGATGAATTGTAACGTCGGTTACCAAGGAATCCCCCAAATGATTATAAAGCATATGATATAATTAGAAAAAAAATTTATTGTAGCAATGAGTACCCATAATTGACTGACTAATAAATCACAATTGTTACAATATTTTCATGTATTAAAAGAGAACTAGCAATATGATTTTTTGTTCTAGAGAGGATTTTTGTATGCCATTAATAATGGAATCAACCTTAAAATCGTTTTTTGGCTTCTTTTTTTAATGAAGTTATAGGCGATTATATACGATTTTACCATGACGTCACTGGCGAATACAAGCCTTAAAACTGTTCTCATATAAATATCGTCCAATATTTTGTAGATTCGTAAAATTGTTTTTTATGATAATTTAATAGACATAAATTTTAGATCAAAATATGCCAGTAATAATAATTTACAAGAATGGTGCTACGATATATTTGTTCCAGAGCTGTGCACGCGTGGACGGCAAATCGGCACAAACATAAGGGCTTACTCAATTTATAATATATATAACTTAAGTGAAAACAAAACAATTTAATTGGTATGTAAAATAAGATCGACTTAGAAATTATTTGAGTTGGCAAAGTCGACTTAGGCAAGTTTAACTGTACTTAGAAATTAACAACCATTTTACAGTATAGCCATATCAACACGCTCAATCCCTAAATTTCCGTTCAATGGATGTAATATTTCTATTCTGCATCCCTCTTTTCAAAATCCTGGATATGCAACTGATCACCATTGTTATCATCACCACCATCATAATCATAATTATTATCATCATCTCCAACAGAGTTTACCGTTTTGTAAATAATTATACTGAAGATACAAGTAGCCCCATAAAAAACAGAAACATATTTTCACAATATCTTACAACCAGGTTCCTTGTCGGTTTTCATTTTTAATATTCTGTAATCTTTTAATTTATTATTTCATACATAATTTAGCATTGGTACAGAGCACACATAACAATACATTCACCGTCTCTCTTTAGTAAGAGCAAAATTATCAATACTGTAAGTGCAACAAACTTTAGTAAGTTTGTATTGCATTTAAGAGTAATAATGATAACTTGTCATTACTGTTGGCATTTGTAGAATCTTTGGTATTTTTGTGTTTTAAAATACAAATATTTGTGTCCAATTTTATTATAATATTTCAACTTCCACCATCTTTCCCCTACATGTATCCTTCATATTTTTTGGCCTAATTTACTTCATTTTGTTCTTTTGTTCTTTTGTCCACAGATGCACTTTTAATTTTTTAATAATAAAACGAATAATCATGATAGAATCTCTTCTTTGTGTGTCAACATAGTATCTTTTTCAACAATGTTCATATTCATACTGTGCCTTTCATATTTATTTTCCAATGTGTACAGTATAATAAAGAATTATGCCTAAACTCTTTTCCACATTGTTTATATTCATATGGTGTCTCTTATAAATGTATTCTCAGAAGAACCTTAAAGTTGCCATTGGTTTTAAACTTATTTCCACAAAATTAACATTGGTAAGGTGTCTTTCCTGTATGTACAGTACCTTCAAATCAAATGCCCTTTTAACTCGCCATTACACTTAAATGCCTTCCCACAGTGTTCGCATTCATATGGAATTTCTCCTGTCTTCAAATGAAAATTTGATTACATTTTTTTTAACAATGTTCACATTTATATGGTCTTTCTCAAATGTTTTTTTCAAGAGTACAGCTTTGAAATTTCTAACAAAACTGTTCACATACGGTGTCTCTTCTGTGTTTGTCTTCTAATATACATTAACGATTTTAAACTTGGCTTTACACAATACTTAGATCCATAATGATGAGTATCCTGTAGTATGCTTACCTGTGTGTCCTCAAATGTGTTTTTAAGCTCCCACTTTCAGTAAAATTCTTTTCACAATGTCCACATTCATGTGGTTTATCTCCTGTGTGTATTTTTAGATGCCTTTGTAAACCATTTTGATTACATTAATTTTCAAAATATTCACATTTATATGGTATTATCCACGTACAATATCCTCAAAAACAGACTTAAAACAGTAACACTCTTGAATGTAATTTTAGAAAATCAATATGCTTAAACTTCTTTCCAAACTGTTGAAATATATACAGTATGGTGTCTCTCCTGTGTGTGTCCTCAAATGCACCATTAAATTGCTACTATTTTAAACTTCTTCCCACAGTGCTCACACAGTCATAAGGTGTCTCTCCTGCCTGTACTCTTCTTAAATGTCCTATCAAACCATCATTACACTAAACTCCATTTCACAATGTTCACATTCATATGGTTTTTTTTCCCTGTGTGTATTTTCATATAGTTGTTCAAATGGTTCATTCCACAATGTTCACATGCAAATGGGTTTTTCTACAGAGTGTATCCTCAATTGAGTTTTCAAGCTACCACTTCGAGTAAACATCTTTCCACAATGTTCAAATTAATAATATGGATTTTCTCTTGTGTTTATTATTCTCCCAATGGTTGTTCAAATTACAACTTTGATTAGCTCTTTCCACAATGTTCACATGCATGCAAGTTTTCTCCGATGCGTGTTCTCAAATACATTATAAAAGTTACTTTTAAATTTCTTTCCACAATGCTCATACTCATGGAAAGTCTTTTCTGTGTGTACACGGTAAATGTACTTTAAATTTGTCAATATTCTTAAATTTCTTTTCATAATGCTCACATTCATGTGTTTTCTCTCCTGTGCATCCTCAAATGTGTTTTCAAGCTTCCACTTTGAATAAACTTCTTTCCACAATGTTCACATTCATGTGGTTTTTCCCCTGTGTGAATCCTTAAATGTCTTTTTAAATTACCACTATTATTGAACTTCTTTTCACAATGTTCACATGTATATGGTTTTTCTCCAGTGTGTGTCATCAAATGCATTTTCAAAATAGTACTGCTATCAAACTTCTTTCCACAAAACTGACAATCATGTGGTTTATCTTCTCCTGTGTGCACCTTCAAATGATGGTTCAAACTTCCAATTTGCTTAAACTTCATTCCACAATTTTCACATTCATAGGGTCTTTCTCCTGTGTGTATCCTCAAATGTGTTTTTAAGCTACTATTTTGATTAAACTTCTTTCCGCAATGTTTACATTCATGTGGTTTTTCCCCTGTGTGTATCCTTAAATGTCTTTTTAAATTACCACTATTATTGAACCTCTTTTCACAATGTTCACATGTATATGGTTTTTCTCCAGTGTGTGTCATCAGATGCACTTTTAAAATGGTACTGCTATCAAACTTTTTTCCACAAAACTGACATTCATGCGGTTTATTTTCTCCTGTGTGCACGTCCAAATGAATGTTCAAACTTCCAATTTGCTTAAACTTCATTCCACAATGTTCACATTCATAGAGTCTTTTTCCTGTGTGTATCCTTAAATGTATTTTCAAGCTCCCTCTTTGATTGAACTTCTTTCCACAATGTTCACATTCATGTGGTTTTTCCCCTGTGTGTATCCTTAAATGTCTTTTTAAATTACCACTATTATTGAACTTCTTTTCACAATGTTCACATGTATATGGTTTTTCTCTAGTGTGTGTCATCAGATGCACTTTTAAAATGGTACTGCTATCAAACTTCTTTCCACAAAACTGACATTCATGTGGTTTATCTTCTCCTGTGTGCACCTTCAAATGATAGTTCAAACTTCCAATTTGCTTAAACTTCATTCCACAATGTTCACATTCATAGGGTCTTTCTCCTGTGTGTATCCTCAAATGTGTTTTTAAGCTACTATTTTGATTAAATTTCTTTCCACAATGTTCACATTCATGTGGTTTTTCTCCAGTGTGTATCCTCAAATGTCTTTTTAAGTTACCACTGTTGTTAAATTTCTTTTCACAATGTTCACATGTATATGTCTCTCCAGTGTGTATCCTCAAATGTCTTTTTAAATTACCACTATTATTGAATTTCTTTTCACAATGTTCGCATGTATATGATCTTCCTCTGGTGTGTGTCCTCAGATGAAGTTGTAAAACAGCATCACTTTTAAATTTCTTTCCACAATGATGACATTTAAATGACATCTTTTTTGTGTGTGTCTTCAAATGCATTTTCAATATAACATGATCTTTAAATTTCTTTTGCCAATGTCCACATTCATATGTCTCTACTGGATGTGTCCTCATTTGTCTTTTAAAATTATCGCTTTCTTTGCATTTGTATCTGGAATTTTCATAGTATGGTCCTTCTCCTAAGTGAGCCCTCAGTTGGGATTTCAAACTATCACTTTGATTTAAATTCTTCCCACAATGGTCTTTTCCTGTGTGCATCTTCAAATGATTGTTCAAACTTCCACTTTGCTTAAACTTCTCTCCACAGTGTTCGCATTCATATGGTCTTTCTCCTGTATGTATTCTCAAATGTGTTTTCAAGCTCCCTCTTTGATTAAACTTCTTTCCACAATGTTCACATTCATGTGGCTTTTCTCCAGTGTGTATTTGTAAATGTCTTTTTAAGTTACCACTGTTACTTAACTTCTTTTCACAATGTTCACATGTAAATGATGTTTTTCTGGTGGTGTGTGTTCTCAAATGAAGTTGTAAATCAGCATTACTTTTAAATTTCTTTCCACAATGCTGACATTGAAATGACATCTTTTTTGTGTGTCCAGAATTTTCACATTCAAATGGTCTTTCTCCAGAGTGTATCTTCAGATGGGATTTCAAACTTCCACTTTGATTAAACTTCTTCCCACAATATTCACATTTATATGGTTTTTCTCCTGTGTGTATCCTCAAATGTGCTTTTAAACTTCCACTTTGATTAAACTTCTTTCCACAAAGTTCACATTCATGTGGCTTTTCTCCAGTGTGTATTTGTAAATGCCTTTTTAAATTACCACTGTTACTGAACTTCTTTTCACAATGTTCACATGTGTATGTTGTTTCTCCAGTGTGTGTCATCAGATGTAGTTTTAAGATTTTACCGCTATTAAATGTCTTTCCACAATGCTGACACTGAAAAGGCATTTCCTTTTTGTGTATCTTCAAATGTGTCTCCAATCTACCAATGTCTATAATTTTTTTTTTACAATGTTTACATTCATATGGAGTTTCTGCTGGATGTGTCCTCGTGTGTCTTTTGAAATCAGAACTTTCTTTAAACTTCTGTCCACAATGTTCACATTCAGAAGTTTTCTTTTCTGCATGTACTCTTGAATGCATTCTAAGATAACCAATACTATTAAACTCCTTTCCACACTGTTTACATTTATATGGGGTGTCTGCTGTGTGTGTCCTCAAATGCACTTTAAAATTGCTACTTATTTTAAACTTCTTCCCACAGTCTTCACAGTCATAAGGTGTTTCTCCTGTATGTACCCTCAAATGCAATTTCAACTCGCCATTACACTTGAACGTCTTTGCACACTGTTCACATTCATATGGTTTTTCACCTGTGTGTATCCTTGAATGGATTTTCAAGTTACTACTCTGAGTAAACGTTTTCCCACAATGTTCACATTCATATGGTTTATATCCTGTGTGTATTCTCAGATGTTTGTTTAAATGACCACTTCTATTAAATTTCTTACCACAATATTTACATTTATATGGTGTCTCTGTTGTGTGTGTCCTCAAATGCACTTTAAAATTGCTATTTGATTTAAACTTCTTTCCACAGTGTTCACAGACGTAAGGTGTTTCTCCTGTATGTACCATCAAATGCTCTTTCAACTCGCCATTACACTTAAATCTCTTCCCACAGTGTTCACATTCATAGGGTCTTTCTCCTGTGTGTATCATCAAATGTGTTTTTAAGCTTCCACTTTGATTAAACTTCTTTCCACAATGTTCACATTCATATGGTTTTTCTCCTGTGTGTATCCTCAGATGCCTTTTTAAATTACCACTGTTACTGAATTTTTTTTCACAATGTTCACATGCATATGGTTTTTCTCCGGTGTGTGTCATCAAATGTAGTTTTAAAATAGTACTGCTATTACATTTTTTCCCACAATGTTGGCATTGAAACACCAAGTCTTTTTTGGACATATTTAAACTTTTATTTAACACACCATAATGATTTGATTTTTTCCCACAATGTTCAAATGTATATGGTGTGTCTGCTCCATTTGTAACATTATTTAATCTACCACTTTCTTCAAACGTATTTTCACAACTTTCACTTTCACATGTTGTCTTTTCTGTGTTTTCCCCTAAATCATCATCATTGCTGTTTCCACAATCACCATATTCATATGGTGTTATTTTTTCAGTGTGTATCAACAAATGTGCTTCCAATTCACTTCTACTGTCAAAATTCTTTACACAATAATCACATTCAAATTGCTTCTCTTCAGCTTTAATTCCTAAATGAGAAGTCAATGCAGCTAAATCAAATTTCTTTCCACAATGTTCACATTTATATTTCAACTCTTCATTTTTCTTTTCTAAATTCAAACTTGCACTTGCAGTTTGTTCATGTTGATTGTATACTTCACTTAACCTATCAATGTTAATGCATCCAGCATTTCTGTATGTTGCCAATGCCATACATTTATTGGTACCTTCATATTCTTGTTGGCCTATACATGCTCTTCTGCAGTTTAGGTTTGATGACAACACTGGAAAATCCTTTCGCAAAAAATCATTGTCATCTAAATCTTCTTCATACCATTGACCTACAAAGTAAATAACAAATACTCAGGGCCAGCGGAACGTTTTTTAAAGTGGGGGGGGGGGCCCCACTTATAAGATGAATGGGAATATGAATCATGCAATGACTTTGTTCTTCAAAATTCAAGGTTTTCCCCCTCTTGAAAACGGTAAGGTAAACTTTCTCATTACAGTAAATAGGCCTGTTATGTGTGTATACCTTAAGAAAATGAGTAGTTGCAGATCGTATTCTTTTTTCAATGAATCGATAAGCGCCAAAGAAAAGAGGGGTCCATCCTAGATGACGGAAAATGAGCTTTTCCCCGACTCCTGTGGTGTCTTAATTACTTTTAAGTTCTTCAAAATTCAAGGTTTTTCCCTCTTGAAAACGGTCAGGTAATTTGTTCCCATTGTTATTACAGTAAAGGCCTTATGTGTCTGTACACATAACATTTTTAAAAAATTGAGTAGTTGCATACGAATCAATGAATCACAAAAAGAAAGGGGGTCGGGGGTCCTCCCCACGGTAAAATTTTGATTCCTAGAAGGCGGGAAATGAGCTTTCCCGACTTCTGGGGTGTCTTTTAATTACTTTTAGGTTCTTCAAAATTCAAGGTTTTTCCCTCTTGAAAATGGTCAGGTAATTTTTTACCATTGTTATTCGGTAAATAGGCCTTAGCTGCATATACATACATAAAAAATTTAAAAAAATGAGTAGATGCATACGAATTTTCCATGAATCGATGAATCCCAAAAAGGAGGTGGGTCCGGGGGTCCTCCCCCTGAAATTTCGATTCCTAGAAGGCGGGAAATGAGCTTTCCCGACTTCTGGGGTGTCTTTTAATTACTTTTAAGTTCTTCAAAATTCAAGGTTTTCCCTCTTGAAAACGGTCAGGTAATTTTTTACCATTGTTATTCAGTAAATAGGCCTTATGTGTGTATACATACATAACATTTTTAAAAAAATGAGTAGTTGCATATGAATTTTCCATGAATCGATGAATCACAAAAAGAAAGGGGGTCTGGGGGTCCTCCCCCGTGAAAATTTTGATTCCTAGAAGGCGGGAAATGAGCTTTCCTGACTTCTGGGGTGTTTTTTAATTACTTTTAAGTTCTTCAAAATTGAAGGTTTTTCCATCTTGAAAACGGTCAGGTAATTTTTTACCATTATTATTCAGTAAATAGGCCTTAAGTGTATACATACATAAAAATTGTTTAAAAATTGAGTAGTTGCATACGAATTTTCTATGAAACGATGAACCCCAAAAAGGAGGGGGGTCCGGGGGTCCTCCCCCGTGAAAATTTCGATTCCTAGAAGGCGGGAAATGAGCTTTCCCGACTTCTGGGGTGCCTTTAATTACTTTTAAGTTCTTCAAAATTCAAGGTTTTCCCTCTTGAAAACGGTCAGGTAATTTTTTACCATTGTTATTCAGTAAATAGGCCTTATGTGTGTATACATACATAAAAATTTAAAAGAAATGAGTAGTTGCATACGAATTTTCCATGAATCGATG